CGGCCGGCTGCGCCCCGGATGCGCACGGCGCCCCCCTCGTCAAGTCCGAGAGCCCCGAGGACGGCGCCACGACGTGGATGCAGGAAGCGGGCCGATACTCGCCGCCGCCAAGTGAGCCCGCGCCGCCGGGGATGGGGATGGGGTGGGAAACGGGGTACACCCCCCACCCCCGATCCCCAACGGGGCGGGGAGGAGTGGCGCTTGGGGAAGGATGCGCAGTGCACCCCCACACACACCCCCGTCTTGGGAAGGGGGGATCCCCTTCCTGATGGCTTCGGAGAGGGATGGGGAGGGTGTACCCCAAGATCTCCACGTGTGCCATCTACCTACCCCCCCCCGCCTTTTGGCTCCAGACAGCCCAGGGGTTGGATGTTGAAGGGGGGTACATGCAAACCCCTCAGCCATGATTGGGAAAGGGGGAACCCCCCCCTTACACCTCTCCAATTGTGTTTTGGGGAGTGTGCCTTTCTATCCTCACGGTCACCTGCGCCATTGGGCACCTGGACCCCACTCAGGTGCCAGGGGGTGGGGGGGTGCAGGGAGTTTTTGGTGTTAGGAAAGTGGGGTTCGCGGTTCTTAGCGGTGACCCGCAGCCTGCCAGGCGCCTCGGGGCGTCCCGGCTGATGCGCCCTGGTTTGAACGGGGACCTCACTAAGAATCTGAACCCCTCAATGGGTGGCGAGGAAGGGGGGGGGGCTGTTTGCTGCGGGGGTAATGCACCTGCGGGGTGTCAAAGCCGCCACACTCCGCCTCTCCAACAGAGACACCAACCTCCCTGGCTCCCCAACCCCGGGGTGGGGAGGGAATGGGGGGCATCGCCCTGACGGCAGCTTGAGCCCAAGGCTGAGCTTCGTTGGGTGCGGACTCAGCCCGGCTCACAGTAATAATTAACAAAGTAGTTAAGCGCTCCAGATCTCACCGGGTCACGTGCTTCAGGGGGACCCCCCAAAGTGTAGAATGGGGGCTCTCCCCCCCACCTCCCCATCACTTCTGATAGGGCTCCTGCCTGCTTTTTCTTTTTCTTTTGCTCCCCCTTCTGAGGCTTGAACTCAGGGCCTGGACACTGTACCCCCCTCAGCTTTTATTTTCCCCCTCGCCTTCCCCTCAAGCCTGGTGCTCTACCACTTGAGCCACAGCTACAGTTCCTGCTTTTTTGGGGGAGGGGGTGAGGAGAGGTGTTCATTGGAGTCTTTCGGAACGTTCCTGCCTGGGCTGGCTTTGAACTTGCGATCCTCAGATCTCAGCCTTCTAAATCGCTGGGATTAGAAGCAGGAGCCAGCATCGGGCTTCCTTGTTTGTTTGTTTTAAAGAAAGAAGATTGAATTTGGTTCATCCTGCATGGCCAGTTCACCTGCGTGCACCCCACTTTCTCCCCCCAAGAGATTGCCTAATTTCTCCAGTCCAGGGGTAGTGTTCAACTTGGAGAGATCTTGGAGAAGAGTCTTTGATCCATCCATTCAGTTCCATTTCCTGGCCTGGGAGATTTTCTCTAACCTCTCATTTCTTTTCCTTCCTGTTCTCTTCCTTACCTTCGGAAAGGTGATTCCCCCCCCCCCCAAAAAAAAAACCAGGGGTGTGTGTGTGTAGGGATAGATCTGGAGGGAATCTTTCTTCCAAGATGGATATACTTGCTGCATTTCCAACATCTTTGTAAGCCTGGAATGTGATAGGCCAAACAGGGCCTTTTACCCTGGCGCCCGAGTCTGGCCCCTGAGTCTGGCCCCTCTGGCTGTCTCTCCACCCTAGTTAGACTCTACAGGGGTGGGGTGGGGTGGGGGGGAGGAGATTAAGGACTCAAAAGAATTTAAATTCAAGTTTGCTTAGTGCTTTACATTTCCAAAGAATTATCTTATCTGATCTTCATCCGGTCTCTCCCTGTTGTGATTTATTGTATCAGCCTGTGGGGGGGGGGCCTGGGGGATGTTAATTGATCACCTACTAAGTGGGCTTTGCCCCAAGTAGCTCTCAAAAACGACTTCAGGAATCATGCTTCTTTCCCGGCCTCCCCCTCACCCCAACCTCCATGAAGAGAGGTTCCAGCACACGGTCAAACCGGGTTCCCCAAATCTGTGGTTGCCTGTAGATTCATTTCTAGGTAGGCCTGGTAACCAGCCAATTCATGCTCATGAAACTAGATAATGATCAAAAGGCTAGGAAGCTGGCATCCTTAAGTTTGGGGAGTCAAGAAAGGGCAAGATCTCTTTTATTAGACCAGAAGTTATCTCTGCCCCTGGTAAGGAGATTTTGAGACCCCGTGGTGTTTGGGGCCTTGGAGTAGGTTGGGGTGGGGTACAGGGAGAAGATCTACTCAGGCCTGGTTTTTTATTTGTTTTTTTTTTTTTGTGATGGGACAAAGTAGGATCGATGCTGTTTTGCTTTGTATCTGTTCCCTCTTTCTCGGGCTGCTTGAAAATGGGGTTGGGGAGAATGGGGGGGAGGGTGGAAATTGGGTGCTAATTGGAGGTCCTGAGCTCTGGCTTTAACACACCTGCAGGGCAGATCCTCAGTCTTCATTCTGTGTGTGTGTGTGTCTGTCTGTCTGTCTGTCTCCTCCCGTGTCCGTGTATCCCCTGGGGCTTGAACTCCAGGCCTACATGCTGTGTTCCTGAACTTTTCCCCCAAGCACTTGTTCCCGGCTTTTCTGGCAGATTCACTGGAGATCGAAATTTCCTGGCCTCTTTTCCTACGCGCAGGCTGGCTTCGAACCACGCTCCTCACTCAGATCTCAGCCTGCTGAATTGCTAGGCTGGCCGGCCACGCACACGCCATGGGTGCCCAGTTCCAACTAGATTTGATCATCCCGTCAGAACCCCGCTGCTGGCTTCCCCGGGTTCTCCTGAGAGCCCTGCCAGGTTTTGGGGGGGGAAGGGTTAAAACCCGGACTGAGAGCCCCAGACATAGCCCTGCTCCCCTAGATGTCTGGTTTACTTGGGAATTAGCATATCAAAGTTTCCCCTCCCAGCCTAACTCAGATTTATTCCCCTTCTTTGATTCTCCCTCCCTGCTGTCCTTTAGCTATTTTTGCCCAAGGCTGGGCGCTCTACCACTTGAACCCGGCTCCACTTCCAGCTTTTTGATGGTTCTTTGAAGATCCGAGTCTCACAGACTTTTCCCTGCCCAGGCTGGCTTTGAACCTGGATCCCCAGAGCTCAGCCTCCTGAGTTAGCTAGGCATTGACCCACCAGCCCTCTGCCTCTTACTATTACTATTATTGTTGTTGTTGTTGTTATTGGAAATGAGTAGAGTGGTTAATAAGGTGGCATTCGGAGAAGGAAGGATATAAAAAAATAAATCCATCCCGGGTGGGAAGGGCTTGTGAAACTCCTAAAAGGAAGTACTGCAGACTTCAAGGAGCCACCGAAGTAACTAAACAAGAAATGTGACATTCTCTCCAATTATTACTGTGTCTACCGCCGTAGTGTGTGTGTGTGTGTGTTGGGGGGGGGGAAATTAGCATAGCTCATAAAAATGCCAAATGCAGAAAATTAATTGTTGGCGCTGTGATCTATTCTGGGCCCCTCCCCACACCCCCAGCCCCCGAGGTAAACAAGGCCTGGAGGTGGAGTTAGTTGACATGGAATCCGCCGGCCTGTGTGTCTCCCTTTTGTCTCTCTAATTGAATTGATTTAAAATTCAGAGTCAGCCTTTCCACCCCCCCTCCTCCCTTCCCTCCACTTCTAAAATCCCAGCTACCAACTAAAATCATTTACATATTTTGCCTGCCACCCTAGCAAAGGCTAGAAGAAATGATGACTAAGATCTCCTTCTGCTTGAGGCCCGGCATACGATTTCTACCCCCCCCTCTCCCCCCCTCCCCACCATCATGTACATTTATGGATGAACTAATTTTCTCCCTCTGTCCTTGTCAAGTTTCTATGGCCCCCCCCTCAAATACCCAGCCAAGAAACTTTATATCCACATCCAGACATAGGAGATGACGGAGGTTGGTTTTTTTTTTATTATCATCTGTGTTGTAGATAGAATGAGGGCTTTGGTTTATAGTGTGGCTCTGTCTCCCCCCCCCTCCCCACAGCTAGAGATGTTATTAATTTTTCACAGGCTGATGACACCCAACTTGGCCTGGTTCAGATCAGAGAGAGAGAGAGAGAGGGCAGGAAATGGCTAAATCAGAATTCAGGAAGACCTATTCAAGGAGCTGTAAATCCCAGCTACTCAGGAAGCTGAGATCTGAGGATCAAGGTTCAAAGCCAGCCCCCCCCACACACACACAGGGAAGGCTGTGAGACTCTGAATGTCCAAAGAATCGGCAAAAAGCCAAAGCCGGAGCTGTGGTTCTGTGCCAGCCTGGATCCCAAGAAACTAAGAGACTGTTGCTCAGATCCTGAGTTCAGCCCCCAATACAGTCCTCTCCATTTCAAAGTATTATTTCTCAAGGAACACTCAGACCTTGATGTGTGAAAGGTTCGTGAGTTTGACTCTTCTAATGCAGTTTGCTTTCCATACAGAAAATTCCATGACCCCCCCATTACATTCCCAAACTGATTTAAAGAAGAAAAACAAGGTGTGTGTGGGGGGGGGTGGGGGGAAGTAGCCATGTGTTTGTTTCCATTTGACCCTTCCTCTACCAAAGTTGTATGAGTTGATCAAAGCACTTTCCAGGCTCAGATCTCAGCCTCCTGGGTCGCTGGGATGACAGGCGTCAGCCCCAGTGCCCGGCTCTTAAAAGAAGGAAGAAGCACTAGCAACCATGTCACACACCTGCTAATCGCTTGTCTCCCTTTCTGGTCCTTTCCAGGACACTTGAGCCCCACCACCTGCACCCTCAGGAAGCACAAGACCAACCGCAAACCTCGGACTCCCTTTACAACCTCCCAGCTCCTGGCCCTGGAGCGCAAATTCCGCCAGAAACAGTACCTGTCCATCGCCGAGCGCGCCGAGTTCTCCAGTTCTCTGAACCTCACAGAGACCCAGGTCAAAATCTGGTTCCAGAACCGCAGGGCCAAGGCCAAAAGACTCCAGGAGGCAGAGCTAGAGAAGCTAAAGATGGCTGCGAAACCCATGCTCCCTTCTGGCTTCAGTCTGCCCTTCCCCATCAACTCACCCCTGCAGGCTGCATCTCTGTACGGCGCCTCGTACCCCTTCCACAGACCTGTGTTGCCCATCTCCCCCGTCGGACTGTACGCTACACCTGTGGGTTATGGCATGTACCATTTGTCCTAAGGGGAAACAAAGGAGAGAGAGAGAGAGAGAGACTCCAGAAGATGGATGTTTGGCTTTCCCAAGAAGGCTGTGCCCAGCTGCGTACTCCTGCAATCTCGGCTCTTTCTGCACTACCTTAAAATAGCCTGACCCTTAAAAAAAAAAAAGCCACAGGGGGAGAGAGGTGGGATGGGGGAAATTAGTTCAAATGTGTTCTCTTCAGTGGAGGAGGTTCTAAGGCTTTAGGTTGGTTCAATTTACACCCTCCCCATTTCTCCCTCGCAGATCGGCGCCGGCAGTTTTTATGTTATAAATATATATATTATAATAATTATTATTATAATGATAATAAAATATAAGACGTTTTATATACCAGACATTTTTTTTAAAAAAAAAAAGCAAATTATTTCGGAAGACAAATGCACCTCTCCCTGGTTAATTTGTTTTTTTTTTCCCCCCTCAGTTCTGAAGAGAAATCGCCATGGGTGACCCTTAAACTTTTTTGGGGGGTTGAGGGGGTGATTTGACTTTTGCTTGCAGCAAACAAGGCTTAAAATTAGATACAGGGATACACTTAGATTTCTTCCCCCCCCCAAAAAAATAAGACAATGCAGGGGAGGACCCACGAAATGGTTTTTGTATTATATCACAGAGAGATGATCCTATTTGGGCCCCATTTTCCTCCCTCTGTATTATTAAAGTTTTATCTGTGTCTTTATTGTGATGATGATTACTTTTGGCAAAAGAGGGATGAGTGTAATCATTCAGGGGCATAGTTCAGGGTGAGGTAGAAATTGGAGATGATCTTTAAACATTCTCGGTAAGGTGATTTGTTCAGTGGATGTAAGAAAATCAGAAAGGAATTGATTTCTATATTTTAAAAAACAGTGCTCATTACAGTGCTCTCCTTGCTTGCCAAGGTCATGTTTGACTGGAACACACTGTCCTAATTTTCTGCTTACAGAAATGAATATCTCAGACCTGGCCTGCTGAGTCACGCCTGTAATCCCGGCTACGCGGTGTCTGAGATGTGAAGATTGAGATTCAAAGCCTAGTCCGGGCAGAAAAGACTCATATCCAATTAAGCACCCTCCCCCCCAAAAAAAACCTAGAAATTGAGGTGCAAAGGGTACCTGGCTCAGCTTTGATTTTTATCAAGAGGATGTTTTATCTACTCTCCTGAATGGAATTCAACATCGGTTTTCTTGCAGGAAAATCTGGGTTTCACTAGCCAGACTTTTTCACCCGGCTCAGCAGAAGCAAACCAAAATAAAATGTCTGCCCTGAAGTGGTCCTCCTGTAAAGGGCATTGATTCATTGAATCAATTTGATTCATTCAAGGTGAAAGAGAAGGAAAGAAAGAAATCAACCCTGGGGTGGAGGCGTGGCTCAGTTGGTGGAGGCTAGCCGGCCTCCTGCAAACCAAGTTCGACTCCCCCCGGGTGTGGAGAAAGAACTCAATTGCATGTGAATCCATCACCAGATTTGGAGAGGGTCGGTGGTAACTCTTTTAGACTTTGTGCTTTGCATGAGGCGGGATTATTCTTAGCCAGGGTTTCCAAAGTCAGTGAAAAATAAACCTTAAAAGAAGGGTAAAAAAAGAACAGGGAGGTGGGGGGGGGGTGGATCTTGAACTTGAAATCTTGCTACCAAAGCAATAGAAGCCGAGAAAGGAGAATCTCAGCATTGTTTTTCCCTTTAAACGGGTGGTAAGTCCCCCTTATTATCCCACCCCAATGGAAAGGAGGACCTGAGCCAAGGCTTGGGTTTGGAGGCATCCCTGTGAAAATAAAAGCTGAGGGGTATGGGGGTGCGTCCCCCCCCATCCCTAGCAGAGAACCTTAAAAGTTTTCTGTTGCACAACTTAAGTCACAAAGTTAACTTCTCAGAGTCATTTGGAAAGAAGATGGCTCTGGTGACTTTGGAAAAGGGAACACTGGAATTGGACACTGCCCTGGGGTCCCTGCCCGTGCTATCCTGTCCCGGGGACCCCCCCCCACAAACACCCTCCTTTGGTGGTGAAGCAACCAACAGCCTAAATTCTGTCTCCTGAGGATTATAGGCGGAACGCAGTCCTGGGGTCTCCAGACGTTTGAAGGCCGCCATCCTTGCTTGGTCTGTGTCTTTGGAGCTGAGTTTTGCGGGGGGGGGGGAGGCAACCCCCCCAGACCTTTCCAAATGTGCCCCCTAGATTCCTGCACCCCGAAGTGCAAATCCAAATCGCAAGGCCAAGCCCGGCTGGATTTGCTCATCAGCTGCTTAAAGTTGGGTCCCTGGTTAGTTTGCACCCCAGGGCTGGGGGCTGGGAGTGGGGGGGGGTTTAGGGGTTCCAGGGAGACACGGATGATTTGGGGAGGGGGAGATCCAGGCTCCACTTGCTCCAGCCCCGCGTGCGCCATCTCTAGCGCAATTCCCAGAACCCAGGCTGCGCCTCCGGCCTGGTGGATGAGATCTGGATGAACCTGAGTCAAGGGGGTACACCCAGAAAGAGGGGGGCTCAGTGGCTCATGCGAGCTAGCAGGCCGGCGGCCTGTGGGGTGGGGGTGTCCTCCATTCTCCGTGGGTGGAATGGGGGATCGGGGCTGTTCACCAAGACCCCAGCCTGGAGTCAGGCTTAGTCCTGGGGGGGGTGGATTCAGCGAGTAGGGGGGGGCGGAGGGATCCCCAAGTTCCAGGCTCTGCAGCAGCGACCTCACGCCTGATACACGGGCCGTATCAGGCCGAGCTGCGCGCATCCCCCACCCGTCCCGGCTTCTTCACACTTCCCCCCAAAAAGACAGCTCTGCCCCCTTTTTATTTGTAGGAACCCCGTTTGATTTGTTGTTGTTTTCACTTGTCTTTGGGGGTGGGGGCGAAAGGGGGTGCCAAAAGAGAGGCATCAGCAGGTACCATGGAGAAAAGGAACTGGGGACTGGAGGGGAACACTGGAGGGGGGGGCGGAAAGCAAAGGGGTGACCCCTCAAAAAAAGCAATGCACGCCTTACCTGGCTCACCAGATGCTCGCCTCTGTGCAACGCACAAAATCAGATTTTTTTTTGGTCAGAAAAGAAGCCAGCCGAGAGGATTCCATCCAGGGGGTGTTTTCTGGAGCCCCCCCCCGATGTGAATAAACCAGGTCACCCCTCCTTCTCCTCCTCCCCCCGCCCCCACCCCTTTTCTTGCATAAGACCCAGAAACTGAGAACCCAGAGACTTCACCCAGGGGGTTCCAGAAGTCGGGGTTCTGGGGGGGGGAAGCCCCGAAAGCTGGGGTCGGGAGGTGTGGGGAACCTGTCTCAGGTGTCCCTCTTCTAGCCAATCGCCTGGGTTGGGGGTGTGTGGGGTTTGGGGGGGGGGGGGGGAGACTTAGGGACTCCGAGGGGAGGAGGCCCGAGGGACAGGAGGTCAGATATTGAAGGCCAGGGTGGGAAGCCCCAAGGAGGGGGGGCGGTGGAGGAACGTCTTCTTGACCTCAGGGAAAAAGAATACTGCCCCCGTTCACCCCTCCACA